AAGAGGCTGAACCCTGGCATACAGTGGACCATTTTCATTCCCTGGGGAGATATTGGGTCCAACCCCTGGTAACTAAAGGGGTTACCCAGGCTGGCGACTCATATAGATGTGCTGTTGCTGGGTCTTCAGGGATAAGAGGCTGAACCCTGGCATACAGTGGACCATTTTCATTCCCTGGGGAGATATTGGGTCCAACCCCTGGTAACTAAAGGGGTTACCCAGGCTGGCGACTCATATAGATGTGCTGTTGCTGGGTCTTCAGGGATAAGAGGCTGAACCCTGGCATACAGTGGACCATTTTCATTCCCTGGGGAGATATTGGGTCCAACCCCTGGTAACTAAAGGGGTTACCCAGGCTGGCGACTCATATAGATGTGCTGTTGCTGGGTCTTCAGGGATAAGAGGCTGTACCCTGGCATACAGTGGACCACTTTCATACCCAAAGGGAGAGTTTGGCTTCAACCCCCGGTCACTAAAGGGGGGAACCCAGTCTGGTGATTTATAGAGATGTGCTCTTGCCGGGTCTTCAGGGATAAGAGGATGAACCCTGGCATACAGTGGACCATTTTCATCACCCGAGGGAGAGATTGTGTCCGACCCCTGGTCACTAAAAGGGGGAACCCAGGATGGTGATTTATAGAGATGTGCTCTTGCTGGGTTTTCAGGGAAAAGAGGCTGAACCCTGGCATACAGTGGACCGCTTCCATACCCAAAGGGAGAGTTTGGCTTCAACACCCGGTCACTAAAGGGGGGAACCCAGGCTGGCGACTCATAGAGATGTGCTGTTGATGGGTCTTCAGGGATAAGAGGCTGAACCCTAGCATACAGTGGACCATTTTCATCCCCCGAGGGAGAGATTGGGTCCGACCCCTGGTCACTAAAGGGGGGAACCCAGGATGGTGATTTATAGAGATGTGCTCTTGCTGGCTTTTCAGGGATAATAGGCTGAACCCTAGCTTACAGCGGACCATTTTCATCCCCTTGGGGAGAGATTGGGTCCAACACCTGGTCACTAAAGGGGTTACCCAGGCTGGCGACTCATAGAGATGTGCTGTTGCTGGGTCTTCAGGGATAAATGGCTGAACCTTGGCATACAGTGGACCATTTTCATCCCCTGAGGTAGAGAGTTGGGTCCAACTCCCGGTCACGAAAGGGTGGAACCCAGGTTGGTGATTTATAGAGATGTGCTCTTGCTGGGTCTTCAGGGATAAGAGGCTGAACCGTTTCATACAGTGGACCATTTTCATCCCCCGAGGGAGAGATTGGGTCCGACCCCCGGTTACTAAAGCGGGGAACCCAGGCTGGTGACTCATAGAGATGTGATGTTGCTGGGTCTTCAGGGATAAGAGGCTGAACCCTAGCTTACAGCGGACCATTTGCATCCCCTGGGGGAGAGATTGGGTCCAACACCTGGTCACTAAAGGGGTTAACCAGGCTGGTGACTCAGAGATGTGCTGTTGCTGGGTTTTCAGGGATAAGAGGCTGAACCTTGGCATACAGTGGACCATTTTCATTCCCTGAGGTAGAGAGTTGGGTCCAACTCCCGGTCACGAAAGGGTGGAACCCAGGCTGGTGATTTATAGAGATGTGCTCTTGCTGGGTTTTCAGGGATAAGAAGCTGAACCCTAGCTTACAGCGGACCATTTGCATCCCCTGGGGGAGAGATTGGGTCCAACACCTGGTCACTAAAGGGTTAACCAGGCTGGTGACTCAGAGATGTGCTGTTGCTGGGTTTTCAGGGATAAGAGGCTGAACCCTAGCTTACAGCGGACCATTTGCATCCCCTGGGGGAGAGATTGGGTCCAACACCTGGTCACTAAAGGGGGGAAGTCAGGCTGGTGATTTATAGAGATGTACTCTTGCTGGGTTTTCAGGGATAATAGGCTGAACCCTAGCTTACAGCGGACCATTTGCATCCCCTGGGGGAGAGATTGGGTCCAACACCTGGTCACTAAAGGGGTTAACCAGGCTGGTGACTCAGAGATGTGCTGTTGCTGGGTTTTCAGGGATAAGAGGCTGAACCTTGGCATACAGTGGACCATTTTCATTCCCTGAGGTAGAGAGTTGGGTCCAACTCCCGGTCACGAAAGGGTGGAACCCAGGCTGGTGATTTATAGAGATGTGCTCTTGCTGGGTCTTCAGGGATAAGAGGCTGAACCCTGGCATACAGTGGACCATTTTCATCCCCCGAGGGAGAGATTGTATCCAACCCCTGGTCACTAAAGGGCGGAACCCAGCCTGGTGATTTATAGAGATGTGCTGGGTTTTAAGGGTGGTGACTCATAGGGATTGCCATTGCTGGGTCTTCAAGGCTGAACCCCGGCAGGGCTACTAAAATATTGCCTGGTGAGCATAAAATAAAAATCTAGACCTGCATAAGCAGACTCCTTCCAAACTGCTGTGAAGGACAGGAAAAAAGACTGCCTGATGGGAAGGGGGAGGATCTATTTATACCAGTTTCAGAGTTCTATTTCCTGTCCTTTCTGCCGTGAGGGGAGGAGCTAACCCATGAGTAAATGCTGCCATGAATAATGATCAGGGAATAATATATAATGCAATACTGTGGTTTAAAATGTGCACTACCTCTACTGTCCAAATGACTTAAAGAGGGTTGATCGGAGGGGGCTTGCAGCAATTTCACTAACCCCTAAAATGTGATGAGATGCAGTCAGAATGGACTTAATATTATTATTAGAAATTATAATGTGCTTTTTCCTAAAATTGGGACATGACACTATATTTGTGACTGCATGTTTGCAGAAGAATGAGGATAATATATATTTAGAGTCAGTAATATATTGCAATTCATCATGAAATATCCCTTCCCTTTTTTTTAGGTGTCTAAAATTTATTTTAGGAACCATATCTGTAAGATGTTCTTTATCTTTGTATTTTTGTAACCTACTGTCACGGCCCCTGGCTCGGCCCCGGCACGACCGCACCAACTCACTGAGGTTACCTGCGAGCCGCGAACCGTTCCTCCACGTCGCTCAGGGAAATCCAAGATGGCGCCGACCGTGAGGTCGCGTCAATCCATGGCTCCACCCCCCAAAATTATACGAACGTGCGCGTGACGTCACAATGTTAACGCACGCGCACATTCTGGGGTCAGAGGTCAACCTCTGACCAATCAGAACCTAGAGAGGGATATTTAATTCACTCCAGTTCCTTATCCTGTCGTGGTTTCCTGTTCCTGGTTCCCTAGAGTGCGTTTATCTTTGTGAATATTACTTCCTGGTATCCTGATCTTGGCTTTTCCTTGGTTATTCCGAATTCTGGTTCCCCTGACTTGGCTTGTTTAAACGGTATCTGAGTATTTCTGGCTTCCTTGACCTCTGCTTTCCCTTTGACCATTCTCTATCTCTAGCGTATTAGTCCGGCCATTCTAAGGTCCGGTTTGCGCTCTGTCCTTTTATTTCCTTTCCTTTTTTATGTATATGTTTACATAGTTTCTGCGTGTTGGACCACACTAGCAGCCGTGACACCTACGTAATTAAAAAGTAACTATATAATGAATCCAGTCTTCTAATTGTATTTAGAGTTTTTGTCTTTAATAAATTTGTACCAAGCCTATATATTATATATATATATATATCAATTTTACAATAACAATATATATATATATATATCAATTTACATTTGATAACATTGTTTAAGCTATTTATAAATGTTTATTTTAAGAGTTACAAAAATCCCCCAAAAACATGTGGACAAAATTTGGTGTTTAGTGACTAACCCGGTCAGACTGTAATTTGCTACAATTCAAAATTTGGTGAATGCGTGATCCAGAGGAAGGTGAAAAAACGTGGACATACAATGGGTAATATGTCCAAGCAAAAAATTCCTTCCTGACCATATTAAGGCGATCGGTTACAATCTGTCCCTGGATCTGTATTACATTTATTTTATATGAATCTTGCTAATTTACGCCATACATTACCATCCCCTTCAGATCCAGTTTAGGTTCATGTAGCAGATTATCCAGAAGGTTTTGGTTTGTTCTGATGAATGCCTGTTTACCCTGTAGTCCCAGCTCCACACTGACTGGCTTCACATTGTTCCAGCTACAGTTACATACTCCAAGCTTATTATGATGTAAGGTGATGACATCACTGTTTAGTTGTAGCCTTATAAGGTAAATAGATAGGCACATCAAATGTCTTGGGCTTCTTTGTATCCTTAGTGGATGTCATCTGCTTCAGATTGTATAAAATAGGTTTGAATAATATTTGTTTTATTGTTTTTTTTTTTCATATTATGATTTTAATTTTATTTCTACAGTGACAATTTAATTAAAAGTACATTCATTGTTTTAGATGGTTTGGGAGAGAAGCACTGTTTTACGTATTCAAAAACCAATAGCTTTAACAATCCAAACATGAACCAAAGATAATCATCTATAGTTCGTAATGTCTGCTGTGGGACTTCTATAGAGTGAAAACATGTATTTATTAAGATGCTCTATGTGAATATGTCTTTTACTAATTTTATACTGACAGCCCATCTACTTCACAACACTCTCAGCTGATATCATGTGAAACAGTACATATTAAATACACATGTTTTCAGGGTGATTTGCTAAAATGAGAATTCTAAATTAATTTCAAATCGAACCCGTAGCGTAGCTGATTTCACTTTGAATTTTCACTTTATTGAATAACCCTATTCATATTTAATATGGTGCCCAAAGCTGTTACATAACAATAAGCCAAAAAAAGACTTACATTTTAAATTTGTTTAAAGAATAATTTGACACTACTGGAAATTACACCATTAAAAAACATTGAAACCATCCATAACTTGTGTTATACTTTTTATTACATTTATAACAATGATAGACAGGGTGTTAAGATGGAGGTGCACAGTTCCAGGATACGTTTAAAAACATGGGTTTGGATTTCTATGTTTGATGCTATTTGTCCGCACAAACACACATTTTCCATGTACAAGGAATAAGCCCCGTCTTCTATGTGGGCACAGTACCAAGGGTCCCCTCTCCAATGTGGGCACAGTACCAAGGCCCCCTCCGTTTGTCCCTGGTTATTGTGTCTCTCTGTACTCCTTTTGACCTCCGCTTGTCCCTGGTTATTGTGCCTCTCCGTACTCCTTTTGACCTCCGCTTTTCCCTGATTATTGTGTCTCTCCGTACTCCTTTTGACCTCCGCTTGTTCCTGGTTATTGTGTCTCTTCGTACTCCTTTTGACCTCCGCTTGTCCCTGGCTATTGTGTCTCTCCGTACTCCTTTTGACCTCCGGTTGTCCCTGGATATTTTTTCTCTCCGTACTCCTTTTGACCTCCGCTTGTCCCTGGTTATTGTGCCTCTCCGTACTCCTTTTGACCTCCGCTTTTCCCTGATTATTGTGTCTCTCCGTACTCCTTTTGACCTCCGCTTGTTCCTGGTTATTGTGTCTCTTCGTACTCCTTTTGACCTCCGCTTGTCCCTGGCTATTGTGTCTCTCCGTACTCCTTTTGACCTCCGGTTGTCCCTGGATATTTTTTCTCTCCGTACTCCTTTTGACCTCCGCTTGTCCCTGGTTATTATGTCTCTCCGTACTCCTTTTGACCTCCGCTTGTCCCTGATTATTGTGTCTCTCCGTACTCCTTTTGACCTCCGCTTGTCCCTGGTTATTATGTCTCTCCGTACTCCTTTTGACCTCCACTTGTCCCTGGTTATTGTGTCTCTCCGTTCTCCTTTTGACCTCCGCTTGTCCCTGGTTATTGTGTCTCTCCGTACTCCTTTTGACCTCCGGTTGTCCCTGGTTATTTTTTTCTCTCCGTACTCCTTTTGACCTCCGCTTGTCCCTGGTTATTGTGTCTCTCCATACTCCTTTTGACCTCCGCTTGTCCCTGATTATTGTGTCTCTCCGTACTCCTTTTGACCTCCGCTTGTCCCTGGTTATTATGTCTCTCCGTACTCCTTTTGACCTCCGCTTGTCCCTGGTTATTGTGTCTCTCCGTTCTCCTTTTGACCTCCGCTTGTCCCTGGTTATTGTGTCTCTCCATACTCCTTTTGACCTCCGGTTGTCCCTGGTTATTTTTTCTCTCCGTACTCCTTTTGACCTCTGCTTGTCCCTGGTTATTGTGTCTCTCCGTTCTCCTTTTGACCTCCGGTTGTCCCTGGTTATTTTTTCTCTCCATACTCCTTTTGACCTCCGCTTGTCCCTGGTTATTGTGTCTCTCCGTTCTCCTTTTGACCTCCGCTTGTCCCTGGTTTTTTTTTTGTCCCAGTTAAGTTTTTCCCTGCATTCGGTGGACTAATCTATCAAACAACCCCCTGGCTCATTTAACTTCAAATAAACCACAAAATGAAGTGCTCTCGCTGTATGGCCGCCTTGTGTCCAGTAAGCAGGCAGCGGTACCTGGTCGTCGAGTGTCTGGAACTGTGAGCGCTATTTGGATATGTTGGCCGCTCAGATTCAGGCTATCCGGGTATATAATATTTGTGGGGGTTCCTAAATGTGTTATATGTATTTTGGGGTATTTTATGTTTTATTCTTTGTACCTCTAGTGCCTGGGAGATAATTAGTTTAAGCAAAGTACACTAAATTATCTCCCAGACACAGAGACTCCTGGGCATTTTGTGGGAGTGTTTTACTATGTCTTTGCTTGAGAACCAATGTTGGGGGTCTCTGTATATAAGTGGACAACCTGGCCATAATAAAACATTACAGTTGTGCCCTTCATCAAGTCTCGACTGATGTTTGGATATGCGAACGGCGAACCGATTGATTTTTCCTACGACCTTAGGATTTCGGGAGAGTACAAACCAGCATACTATGCAAACGGGCTATAATCACCTAAGCCTCTAGCATTTCGGGAGTGTGAGAACGAACGGAATATGCGAAATACAAGGGATTTGTTACAATCCTCTTCCGGAAGAACCCTCTAACAATAGATAGAGCAAGCTCAGTGTTATTTGAGTCTTAGTTTTCGATTTGGACATTTTATCATTTATCCCACTCTCTCCTGTTATCCAACTCTGTGTATTTCTGTGTTCTTTGAACTCGACCTGTTTTTATGACTTGCTCACCTGTTTGCAGGTATCTTTCTAACATTAAGCCCAGCCCCAACTATAAATTGGCAATACATTGTAGTCCTTCTCCTATACCGTTTTATATAAATTGTCATTAGCATATGTTCTGCATGAGTTGCATCCACCATGACACATACTGTTACAAACTGTGTCCCCAAAAGACTATACTTATCCCTGTTGCACTCCTTGCTTGTCTGATATTGTTTTCAGGTCCTCATGCTGGGGACCGCCCTACCTGCCCCTACTGGAGCTATAATCATTGTCCGCATGGCAGACCGCGATTGCAGGGGCTCCCGACCTGGGAGCTACGAGTCCAGGCTAGTAGCTGCCCAAAGAGCGCTCTCTCCGGTGCTACCTAAGTGGAGATATCCACCAGAGAGAGACGCAAGCCCTAGCAGACCCCCTGGAGCTATGAGTCGGCTTCACAGCCGCAGAGTCCCGCTGGCCGCCTGGAAGTCTGCACTGACCCTTAGGAGAAAGGGGCTACAATTCAAACTGGTTTGCACCCTTTAAAGTAAAGGGCTCAGCTCGGAACACCTCCCTCCCTGAGCACTGATTGGTTGCTGCGTGGCTTAGGCGACCAATAGGAGAAGGAGCCATGATGCAAACTGGGTTTGTGCCCTTTTTCCTGATAGGCCGGCGCAAGTTAAAGGGCTTAGCTTGGAACCCCTCCCCCTGTTTGTAGCTGCGTGGTTTAGGGGCAAGGTTTGAATCTACCGGCCTAAACCAAGTGATTCTGTGGAACTATTTTCGGGTATGTACAGAGCCTCAAGCCCAGACTTTTTACGACAAATTATCGGGCTCTGTACATCCGATTGCTCCACTTTTTGCAGGAATCATAGCTGGGATTAGAAGCTTTTTAGGGATATATTATGTGTGGGGTTATTTTATGTCCTTGCTATGTTTTGGGGTATTTTTATGCTTTATATTCTTTATGCACAGTCGTGTTGTGGGAGTGTTCCAGGCGTGGGAGTGTTCGCTGTGGGAGTGTTCCAGGCGTGTTTGACTGTGTCCATGTTTTGTATAAATTGGTTGTATCTTGTCCCATTAAAAACATTCCTGTTGTACCCTTCATCAAGTCTCGGCTGATGTTTGGGGTAGCTAAGAGCTCTGATCACTGTTTCACTTGGCATTTGGGAAGCCTTCTTGCGTAACATATAATTTTTTCCTAGACATTGAAAATATTCAAACCTAACTAGCTTTTCTACTCTTTATTTTTGGCACCAAAATTCATCTAAAATGCATGTTCCTACTAGAGTCTCACCTGTCCCCTATGCCTCAGGTTTTCCTGCATTTTCACAGTCTGTGTCCGCCATGACAGCATCACCACGTGGTCCCTGGCATCTGTGAGTTCAAGTATCTAAGTCGCTGTGTTCAGGAACCTCGGGCACGATGTAGTGTCGTTTCTAATGCAGTATCTATACTGCAGGTTGATACCACCTTAATCCTTAAACAATACGTGTACGAGATCCTGTGACCAGTTATTGAGCTGTGTCTGTTCCTGTATCCAGTTATTGAGCCGTGTTTGTTCCTGTATCCAGTTATTGAGCCGTATCTGTTCCTGTATTCAGTTATTGAGCCGTGTCTGTTCCCGTGTCCAGTTATGAAGCCTTGTCTGTTCCCATATCCAGTTATCGAGCTGTGTCTGATCCCGTATCCAGTTATGGAAACAAGTCTGTTCCTGTGTCCAGTTATTGAGCCGTGTCTGTTCCGTATCTAGTTATTGAGCCGTGCCTGTTCTTGTATCTAGTCATTGACCTGTGTCTGTTCCTGTGTCCAGTTATCGAGCCGTGTCTGTTCCTGTATCCATTTATTGAACCGCGTCTGTTCCTGTGTCCAGTTATTGAGCCGTGTCTGTTCCTGTATCCAGTTATAGAGCCGTGCCTGTTCCTGTATCCAGTTATTGAGCCATGTGTTGCGGAGAGCTGGTCTTTCACTGGTTAACTCCACCAAAGATCCCAGTGAGGCTCAGGAACAAGTAATAAAATCCCATAGAACAATATTCACAGCAAGCAAGGTAATCCACGAATATCCCCATACAGATCCCAATGACTGGATAACACACAGCATCAGGAGCAGAACTGAACTTTTAATCACACAACCTTCTTTTTAAGCTTTCTCTCATGCAAGGGAGGGATTCACATTAATCATACATGCGTTGCCTCCCACTCCCCTCCCTTTAGTATGACTCATAATCCCCTTATGCAGGACATAGTTCCCCTGGTTTTCTGGATGTACCCCTAAACATAGGGGTACCCCTTTAATTGTTACATCCCCTGGTGGCCCTGATCTGGGTGAGTTACATATTCAAAAATCACCGAGATCGGACCAGGGGTTCGGGAAATTCCTGGAGGTAGTAAAAAGACTGACCACGCTGGAGGTAACAGCTGAAATGGGTTCCATACGTTTTGGCCCTGCGGTCGGTCACAGAAAAAGGGAATAAAATACATGAATGGCTTGGGTTATGGAGACTGGGGAGGATTCGGGTAAACCCCCTTGTTCGTGGGGTTCTTTCTACTGAACGGTGAGTCGTTCGGTAGTTTCTACACGAATTGAGGGCAGTATGGAGGTCTCAGTGGTGTTTGCCTAGCCAAGTGTCCGATTTGGGTTCCAGACACTCGACGGCAAAACACTGCTGTTCGGGAGTTTAAGATGGCCGCCGCCACGTGTTCGTCTCCCGAATGGTGGCCATCCAGAGGACAAAGCACACACTGCACTGATTGCCAATTACCCGTTTGCAATATTGTTGCGAACGGTAATTGGAGGCACACTTATTCCTGGGGTGGTCTGATTGTTCGGTAGTTTCACTCGCATAATAACTGGAGTGATTTTACCGAACAATCAGGCGAATGCTGCATACAACATACATACATACGGCAAAAATTAACCGAAAGCATATGAACCCACATAATTTTGAGGACAGCCTAATGCCATCCGCTGCACCATGTCTGTTCCTGTGTCCAGTTATTTAACCGTGTCTGTTCCTGTATTCAGTTATTGAGCCGTATCTGTTCCTGTATCCAGTTATTGAGCCGTGTCTGTTCCTGTGTCCAGTTATTGAGCCACGTCTGTTCCTGTGTCCAGTTATTGAGCCGTGCCTGTTCCTGTATTTAGTTATTAAGCCGTGTCTGTTCCTGTATCCAGTTATTGAGCCATGTCTGTTACTGTCTTTAGTTATTGAGCCGTGTCTGTTCCTATGTCCAGTTATTGAACCGTGTCTGTTCCTATGTCCAGTTATTGAACCGTGTCTGTTCCTGTATTCAATTATTGAGCCGTGTCTGTTCTTGTATCCAGTTATTGAGGCGTGTCTGTTCCTGTATCCAGTTATTGAGCCGTGTCTGTTCCTGTATTCAGTTATTGAGCCGCGTCTGTTCCTGTATCCAGTTATTGAGCCGTGTCTGTTCCTATATCCAGTTATCGAGCCGTGTCTGTTCCTGTATCTAGTTATTGAGCCGTGCCTGTTCCTGTATCCAGTTATTAAGAAGTGCCTGTTCCTGTATCCAGTTATCGATCCGCTTCTGTTCCTGTGTCCAGTTATTGAGCCGTGTCTGTTCCTGTGTCCAGTTATTGAACCGCGTCTGTTCCTGTATCTAGTTATTGAGCCGTGCCTGTTCCTGTATCCAGTTATTAAGCAGTGCCTGTTCCTGTATCCAGTTATCGATCCGCTTCTGTTCCTGTGTCCAGTTATTGAGCCGTGTCTGTTCCTGTGTCCAGTTATTGAGCCGCGTCTGTTCCTGTATCCAGTTATTGAGCCGT